TAATAAGCAAGTATCAAATAAATTAGATATTTCAAGGACTGATATAACCCATAAGAAATAAAAAGTGTTATAAAAAAAGAATACTGGAAGGAATTCTGTTTTTGAATGATTGATCAGGAAGTGCCTGTCCTAAAAGCTGTCATTTGAGCTGACGGGCAAAAAGAAAGCAGTCATAAGAAGACCTTGAGGGAGAGTATTTCAAGTAGAAGAAACTAATGGCACCAAGGATGAGAACAAGCTCAGTATATTGGAAATCCATGAGTTTAATAACCAAAGGGAATATGGTAATGATATAAGGTCAGACATTTGGGCAGACTTCCACAGGACGTTTATGTTGTAAAATCTCACAATTAGTTGTCTAGACAACTTTGGACTTAGGAGAAAAGCTCAGGATATGAATAAAAACATAGGCACCATTCTATTTACAGGTGATGTTTGATGGCATGAGAATGAGAATGTGAAAACACAAGAAAGCAAAGAAAGGGATGTGAGAAAAACTAACATTCAATGAGTAAGGAAAGGAAGAGAAACGATCAATGATGACAAATACAATGGTGAGAAAATTAAGAGGGTAAAGGGGAGATTACAATGCCCTAGCATAGAAGGAAACAGATAGTTGTAAGAAACAGAGAATGATTAACAGAGTTAGAAATCATGAATTAACAGGAGAAAAATATTTCTAACACAAAATGGCAAAGATCATTGGTGGATTTTTCTGACATAGTTTACTTGAAGAGGTAGGGAAAAAAATCTGATGACTTTCCTAGAGTGAAGAAAAAAAAATCTGAATACAGTAGAGTAAAAAGTAAATAAAAAATAAACAGCCATAGCCAATAAAGACTGCTTTTTTCAGATTTTTTTTTCTTTTTGGAAGAGAAAAAATTTTTTGACTTTTATAAAACAAATCATAAATAATAATATATAAATATAAAATTAATTATATTTCACCCAAATATATAACATACACCACCACTATCATTCCACAATCATTTCATATTAAATTCCCAATCCCCCAAATTCAACTAATCCACATCTTCCAAAAAAAAAAAAACCAATACTCCTAATCCCCCCAAACACAAATACTTTCCAAACTCCTAACTCACTCCTCTCTAATCCCCCATACCACCATACCCACATTTCCAAACCCAACCCCCCCCCATCTCAAACAACCCACAATTCCTTTCTTCCTACATTCCCATTCATCCCCCTCATTCTTCATCACTCCCCCTTCCACAATAAAAACACTAAATTTAACCCCCCAAAAAAAAAAAAATTTTTACCCCCCCCCCCCCTTTTTTTTTTTTTCCTTTTCCCCCCCCCCCCCCCCCTTTGTGTGTGGGATTCAAAATGGTAGTTTGGTAGTTTCTTAACAAAATTAAACATACTCTCACCTATGAACCAGCAGTCATGCTCCTTGGTACGTACCCTAAAGGAACTGAAAACTTACGTCCATACAAAACCTGCACACACTTTTTTTTTTTAAAGATTTATTTGTTTATTCATTCAGAGAGAGCGAAGAGAGAGGCAGAGACAGGCAGAGGGAGAAGCAGGCTCCATGCAGGGAGCCCGATATGGGACTCGATCCTGGGTCTCCAAGATCACACCCCGGGCTGCAGGTGGCGCTAAACCACTGAGCCACCTGGGCTGCCCTGCACACACGTTTATAGCAGCTTGTTCCTGTCAAAACTGGGAAGCAATCAAGTTGTCCTTCAGTAGGTAAACAGATATGGGAGCTGCGGTCCATCCAAACAATGGAATAGTATTTGGTACTAAAAAGAAATGAGCTATCCAGCCATGAAAAGGCATGGGGGGGGGGAATCTTAAATGCACATTAATAAGTGAAAGAAGCCAATCTGAGAGTCTGCATACTATAGGATTCCAACTATGTGACATTCTGGAAAAGGCAAAAGTATGGAGACAGTAAAAAAGATCAGTGGTTGGCAAACGTCAGTGGGGCCCAGAGGAGTTCTAGGACAGTGAAAATACTCTGTATGATGCTATAATGATGGATGCATGCTCTAACGAGCCCACAGAATGTACAACACCAAGAGTGACCCCTAATGTAAACTGTAGACGTTAGGTAACTGTGATATTCAAATGTAGGTTCATCAGTTGTATGAATATAGCACTCTGGTGGGGGACATTGATAAGGGGAGAGGCTGTGCATAAGTGGGAGCAGGGAGGCATATGGGGGTTTTTCTATATTTTCTCGTAATTTTTTTGTGAATCTCAAACTGCTTTAAGAGAATAAAATCTAAGAGAATAAAACTGCTTTTTATTCACATAAAAAAGTTTTAAAATCTCATACATCTTATATATGTTGTATCTCAAGATTATGGAATAAAAAGACGTATATCTCTACGGTGAAAACCCAAAGAAATCATAAAACTCGTACTGGTGAAGTTACATTTATAAGGATTGTTGTTATTGTTTTGATGATGGCACTAATGAGCAAGGGAAGACTTCTTCGGGTCCTTAAAACCATATCAATTATATGACCACATGCTATACCTACATATAAAATCTTTCCCTACTACGCCACTGACTCGCCAAATGTCCTGGTTTGTCATTTCCAATATTTTGGTCCTTCACTTTCTTTTAAACTCACACATTCAAAGTCTCTAGGCCCCTGATACTAAGGAAAAATCTGCCTCCTTTTAAATCCGTGGAAGATTCTGTGAAAGCAGTTTCAAATTCTAAGACTGACAAAAACACCAGGAAGTAGTGCCACTGACTGCTAACTGACCCAAATTCTGACCTTTAAATAACACACTATTGGAACAAAGGTGATAAAGAATGTCTAATTCTTATATACATGATCCAGAAGTTAAGAGAGTATGTATCTATTAAAATTTGGCTTTTACTTGCGGTTAATGAAAGACAGAAAAGAAAATAGCACAGAGAAGCCGTGAGAAGGGAACCTCCTGAGGCTGCCCTAGGGAGATCTCACTAATGTTTTCACCTTTTTAAGGAGGGTTTTTTTCTCTTTTAATCTCTGATGGCAACACAGCACGCTGTTCTCTGTCTAAAACGCCGTCTAACAATGGCCAGAATCAAACCTTTCTCCACTTCTATTTAGTATAGCTGCAGGCTAGCGGGGCCGTGATGAGCATGGGATGATGTACGGAAATACTAAATCATCGTATTGTACACCTGAAACCAATATAACACTGTACCTTAACTATACTGGAATTAAACAAAAATAAAAATAAAAATGAAATGAAATGAAAGAAATCAGCTATGAGTAAGAGATTAATAAAGACGATGAAACACCAGACAGACCATTAGAGCTCCCTGGTAAATGATATTTATTGATTAAAATAAAATTGAAACATATAAAAGATTAAAAAATAAAAACATAATTTATAATACCAAGCATAAAAAAGGAAATTCTTTTAAAGGAAAGAAACATCCAAGAAACATAAAACATTAAGCTGATAAGGACACATATCTGATTCAATGGCTGACTAGTTTACCAGGTTCTTAGACCATGTTGCCTCCAATATTTATTTTCTTAACCAGACTCTCACTCACTCCAAAGAACTGCAAGCCAACCCTGCTCCCTTTCCTTCAATTTGTCAATTGTCTATTTCTGGCCTCGTAAGAAAGTAAAAAGGAAAGTTCTCCTCTATCACTTACCTAGAAGTTCCACTCAGTTTCTGATACAGGTTTTGAGAAGCAAAACCTTTTTTGCCTAGCAGTACTATAGCCAGATGAAGTTCTACCATTTACCTAAGCTGGAATATGCTGCTCACAATAAAATATAATAATATACAGTAACCATGAAAGAAGAATTACATGTATATAGCAACAGCAAGGTTTTCCTGTTAAAAATGCTTTCCATAATTAGGTGAGAAGTAATATTTCAAATTTTCCTTTTTGTATTTACTAACTTAAAATATGTTGCCAGTTTAAAAAAAAAATGCCAGGCAGTAATTTCCCAGGCTGAAATTTTCTGAAGAAAATGGTCACTCAGCCATTTTCACTTTATAATCAGAAAGTAAAAATTGCACCTACTAATGAAGTGTTATATTGTTATTAAATGTGTTCTATAAAAATATTTTATATTAAAGTCTGTAGTAACAGATAAATCTGTAGACTGGATCAGTTAAAAGAAACAGGATATCACTATTGTCTCTAAGGAATATGTAACATTACATAATTCTTAATCTATTTTTGCCTTTATGGAATTACATAAGATAAGCAATAGTTTGGCACCAATTCATCAAACAGAAGGGCAAATTTTCACTGTAATATCTTACTTATGTAGTTAACAAGAATTTTACAGCTACCTAAGAGGTGACATTTTACTTTTGCATAGCTTAGCAATGCATTAATAGATTCACTTTTACTTTTTAAATGTATGGCTATTTCATAATACTTTATAATAAAAGAGTACAAATAATTTAAAATTCTCAGTGCATGCATTAAAGTGACCTTCATATTTAAATTTAATATTTTATTAGTTCCAACCCAAAAATCAGAACGTGAAAGGTGAAATGTGGACAAACTCCAAAACACTTTCCTTTAAAGACAAATGTCAAGGAAAACTAGAACTTTTCTGCAAAACAATAGCACAGTGACTTTTAAAGTTCCATCTGGAAGCTGGCCCACCCACTAACCTTGTTGTTCCTAAATTATGTACCTTCAAATGGACAAGGGTGAAGCAAAGAACAAGTTTTGTTTATAAGTCCGTAGGCAGCCTTAAATTGCTTTAACTTCATGAGGACAGATTATGGTTGGGAAAAATATGCAGGGCCTCAGACCAGTGGTTGGATCTGCATGCTACGGATCCATGTGAATTTTGAGTAAAGGCATTTCTTTGCAAGCAGATGAAAGCTAACTATGCTGAGAAAAAAGAGAAAACTTTTTTCTTCACTGTTATCAAAGACAAATATAATGTTGCCACAGGATTTTGTCTATCTACTTTTTAAAACAATTTAGAATAAAGAGACCAAAGGGCTAAAAACAGGATTTCCAAATGCAAAATACAGACTTACTGGTACATGCCATAGAAGGTGGATCTTTTTCAGCTCGGAAGTAACCCTTTTCACACTGACAGACAGAAGTTGCTTCCATGTAGGTTAAACTGTGGGGAGGGCATTTAGAACACTTTGTGTTTCCAGCAAATGCTTTATAGAATCCTGGCCTGCAAGCTATAAAAACAGGGAAAAGAATTTTTTTGTTATTGCTGCTTATTTTATTTGTACATGTACAATGTATTTTAATCGACACACATTTGATCTCAAAAGTTCAGTGTCACATATATGCAGAAAAGGCAATATATGTTAATATTAATAATGAAATTAGTTATTCAAAATCAGTAACATAATGGTGACTTCATATTTAGGCTCGGGTTGCTAATTTTAAAAAATATACCTGAAATACACATACACAAAATAACAATAATAACAGTGTGTGGGAATGCCCCTAACTGGCGGTGAGGGAAATGATTTTGTGCAGTTGTAGGAGATAGTATTAAATAACATTGAACCACACTGTGTAAAATGTATTCGCATTCCATTTTTCCCTTAGTCCCTCTGAGTACTAAAGGAGAAAGACCCAGTATGGTGCTGGTATATCTTAACACCTATCCTATTGGTGAAATTTTTTTTTTTGGACAAAATGAAAGCTGGCTTTAAGTTCAGAGACTTTAGCAAGCTCTACCTATAGTTTGTTAACACTGATTTATTTTTAGATTTTTTTTTTACTGTAAACAAATTTTTGTTTATTATATTGAGATGACTCATTTAAAATTTTTGAATTCATTTTAAAAGTGGATAGACAAAATATTAAGTAAATAAGATACATGTGCTATATACATATGGCAAGAACCATGGAAACTGTAAGTAAATAAATTTTCACAAAAAATCATGAAAACGAAATGTAAATGATGAAATGTTTTATCAGGCCACATTTTCTCTTTGCTTAAACCCATGTTGTCATTTACAGGGTACTTTTTCACAGGAATGTAAGATCTAGAAAAAAGATTCCAGTGCTAAGTATGCATCCAAGGTCCTGAATGTTGAAGGGGCAGTTGTTTCTTTCTCAAAGAAACTACTGCCGACCCCTTTCTAAATTAACATTGTTACACAAAATAAAGGAAGAACAATCTTCCAGTAACAAGTATTATGTGAAAAATGTTTTAACAAACTTATTGTAATCCAATACATATACACAAAATGCTCTATTTAAAAATACACAATAAATAACAATAATGAATTACAATCCCTTGATTAGGCTTCTGCTTATAAATTCAGGAAAGAAAGAAAAAAATGCCTTTTTTTGAGGTAATTCCTACTTACATGAGTCCCAATATAGTAACTATTTGTCTTACCCGAGATATATATTTTAATGACTATTCCTGAAGATCTAAATTACTGCAATTTGATACATACCAAGAGTATACTATGTACCACTGACTCCTTCTCTAGGAGGTGTAAACCACAAAAAGTGGCACACACACACACACACACACACGCACAGACACATAGAAATGTACACAAGGGCGCATATGCAATAACGACTATTTTTGATAATTTGTTTTTATAATAACACTATATAAACGACATAGTAATTCAAGGGAAGTAATATGATCAATTCTGTACAGTAAAATTACTTTTAAAAACGTGGATATTCACTATCAATGAAGCTATAAGTGGTGATACACAAATATCAACCACAGTCTCTCTTACTGGCTGATAAATTAATTAGTAACCAAATGAGCAATCAATAAAAACACTGTATCATCAAAATATTTCTCTAAGACTGTCAAAATTCAGTGTATGTCAATAATATGTACTCAACCCCTAACATTTTCACTAACATATTCTTTAAAAAAATTTTAGTTACTAAATTTAATGTTATTGATATAGTAGTTACAAAACAGTGTATTGTAAGATATTTAATAAATCTAGCTTATATAAATTTTTAATAAATAATTATTTTCTATTAAATTATGAAGTTTAAAATAACTCAATATATTCCATAGAATACATTTGTAATACTCTGGCAAATAGTTTTAAATGTTGAACCCAACTAGAAATTTAATCATATCTTTATCTTCTCTATTACAATATTTATAAACCTAATAAACCACACAATTTATAGAGAGTGTGCACATTTAAGTGGGGAGCTTGCACTCTGCATATTCTAATATTATTTTAAATAGAATTTAAATATTATTATAAGGGCCTTTTGAAATAAGAGCAACTTGAAATAAATTAAGTAGGGATGTGAACACTATAGGACTGTACTAAGGTTTATTGCATGTCCAGATACAAACCCTACAAGACATAGAAACAAGATCTGTAAACGCTTTTCTTTCTGTTATCCGTGATTCAAATCTCAGTCATAAACACTGTCTGGCATATAAAGTAGCCTGCCTATCACTTCATTTTGTGCAAACAAATCACTGTTACCTTTATTTTCTTTGGTAATTAAAACCCCAAAATTTGTTTATTTATTTACTTAAAGATTTTATTTTTTTTATTTTTATTTTTTATTTTTTAAAGATTTATTTATTCATTCAGAGAGAGCGAAGAGAGGCAGAGACACAGGCAGAGGGAGAAGCAGGCTCCATGCAGGAAGCCCGATGTGGGACTCGATCCAGGGTCCCCAGGATCACACCCCGGGCTGCAGGCGGCGCTAAACCGCTGCGCCACCGGGGCTGCCCTTAAAGATTTTATTTATTCATTCATGAGAGACACAGGCAGAGGGAGAAGCAGGCTCCATGCAGGGAGCTGGATGTGGGACTCAATTTCAGGACCCTGGATCATGACCTGAGCCAAAGGCAGATGCTCAACCCCTGACCCACCCTTAAAGCCAAAATTTAGATGATTTATCGGAAGTGTTTTCAGCTAATTTATCATCTCCTTTCAGAATTTTGAAGTGCTTAAAGCAGCTCTTAAAATACTTAGAATAGCTCAGTGATATTCAAATTGTTCTAGAGACAGACTGCAATTGGTTTCAGCACCCAATCTTGCCTATTTGATTCTGTGAACAGAAGGATCTTCTAAATTTGTTCTTTCCAATAGTGTTAAAAAGGTAAATTGAATTTAAATAAAATATTTTTAAAACATATATTTATAGTTATACACATATATCATTTAAAACCTTGTAGGAGTTACATTAAAAAACGAAAATGAGGTGAAATTAATTTCAATAATATATTTTATTTAACACAGTATATCCGGGCAGCCCCTGTGGCCCAGCGGTTTAGCGCCGCCTTCACCCCCAGGTGTGACCTTGGAGACCCGGAATCGAGTCCCACGTGGGGTTCCCTGCACGGAGCCTGCTCTCCCTCTGCCTGTGTCTCTCTCTGTCATGAATAAATAAAATGTTTTTAAAAATTAAAAAAACCCACAACATATCCAAAATATTATCATTTCAACATATAATCTAACTCTTGAAATAGTTTACATCATTTGAGGTTTTTTGCACTTTTTGTACTAATTCATTCGATAGGCATTTTCCATGCACCGCCCATCTCAATTCACCCAGCCCCATTTCCAGCGCTCACTCACCTCATGTGGCTGGTAGCTACCACGCTGGAGAGTGCAGTTTTGATCACAGAAATCTGTTCATTATATCTCCCTGTTGGGAAAAACTGTGATGACTTCCCAACATCGTTATGTTAAAGTTGAAAACAGACTGGATTGCCAGCTCCCCTGTGGCTTGACCCTGCCGACAGCCCCAACCACATCACATGGAGTTGCTCCCCTCTCAGGCTCCCTCGATGGAGGCTTGGCCCTTCTACACTCCATCCTCCACCCAGCAGGCAGGGATCTCCTCAGGAGGCTTTCTGTTTCTCCTAGAGTAAAGCCATTGCCCTATTAATTGTCTCCTTGGCATTGCCTGGTTTTGCTCCCTCTCCATTCCCTGCAACTCTGCTTGTCATTAGTTCTTTTTCCATCATGTGCTCTGCGCCAGCCACACGAGCATCCCAGGATCTTGCATGGAAGCATGCTCCTGCTACTGGGCCTGTAACCCTTGCTCTTACTCCCCATCTGCACAGTTTGCTCCCTCCCTTATATCGGGTTTTTGTAGCAGTGTTATCATACTAATGAAGCCTGATTCCCTTTTTAAACTGCCCCTCCTGCTACTTCCTACCACAGTATTTTATATTATCCTCCGCTCTTTTTTCTATCTACAAGGAACTTAACATCTGACACTTGATATGTTTAATTTTTTCAAGCTATTTCCTTCTAAAATGTCTGTTAGGGCAGAGGTTTTTGTCTCTTTTGTTTCCTGAGGTGTCTCTCCAGGGCCTAGACCAGCTCCAGACATCATGTGGCCCTCCCTCAGTATTCGGTAAATGAATGAGTGAATGACTTGCTAAATGTCTCCTTTAATTTCTATGAATGTATCATGATATTTCTTCTGCTTGGGCCTTTTCTTCCATTGAAAATCTCTTTTCTCCATTCCACCCCATGACCCAATCATCCTGGTAACTCCTGATCCTCTTTCAGGTCCTCCTTCTTTCTGACTTGCTAGACTGCTTTAGTTTCTCCAAGCACCTGTGACTTATCAACAATAGTGTATACCTGTTGGTTCATAGACTAGCACGGTGCATGGAAGGCAAGGAGGAGAGACAGAAGAAAGAAGTAGATCACTCCAGATTGGCAGGTGGCAGGTTTCATGAGCAAGGGAAGTGACATATGAGGCTTGTTTGGGGGAAGCTGCAGAATAAATAGCTCCCTGCACCTGCCCTTCAGAATCTTAAAAGTTTATACAAAGGCCTTAAATGGGTTGAGTCATTATACTATTCGGGAGTCCCAAGAACACCTCTCTCAAGGCTCGGTCCTTGAAATGGCCCCCACGGTGGGAACCGTACACAGATCATAGAGTTCAAAGACAATAGAGGGGTTGAGGAGCCTCCAACTGCCAGGTCCAGCTGAAGGGTCAACCAGCTGTGGTCACATCCTCTGTTACCTGTTCAGCAACACCTTGGTGATCACGTGTTTAATGGCTGTAAACCCCTCAAGGGATGGCTCTGATAACATTTTGAGATATGAGAATCCTCAAGTGATTATCATAATGTAAGTGTTCAATACATATTTTTTTTCACAGTATGAATACTCTGCTAATTAAATTCCTACAGGAGATTATGCATTTCTTCTCCATGTATGTTCTTTTTTTTCCCTTTTTTTAAAGA